TTGTTGGGGGCAATATGCTGACTCTGTAAACCGCTTAGAGAGGGCTGAAAGCCCTATGAAGCAGTATATAAGTCTAACTGCTATTGCTATTGTTCTACCTGCTTCCAGCAAATGTAAGATCTGCACAAAAGAAATGATGATTTGATATTAATATTTTCAAACACATTCTGCAATACTGCCACAGTTCTCCATCCACTCCTTAGCAATGGGACCAGCTTGGCTGATCTACCCTTAGTTCTTGGGTAAAGCTTACCTTTTCTATTCTGTCTCTCATGCTTCTGTTCTGCATCTTCCATAATAATGATAGAACACTCCATAAATCAGGGGTGTCAAACTCGCAGCTTGTGGGCCAGATGCATCATGCACTGGCCACGGCCATCCCATTTAGAAAAGGGGGAAAGATGCGATACATCACGGGACAGTATGATGACGTGAGTTTGACACCCCTGCCATAAATGGTCTCTTCTACTTCTCATTTCCTCCATAGACTGAAAGACAGTCATCTCACTCTAAGCAAGATGTTCCCTCTATTATATTTAACAAACTTACTTCAGGCACTGATGTTGATTATGATTTAACATGGTCATTATGATGTTTTTTATTATTCTGCTCTATGATGCTGTTTTTACTGTTGTTGATCTTACTTCATTCAGATTGTTAATTGTGTTTTGTTGATTAGTGTTGTGAATCTCAATCTTGCTGAGTTTGATTTTATGGCAGAAAAGCAGACTTGCTCAAGGAGGGATCCTATTGTCACAGCCCTTATCAGTATTTATTTTCTTACAATATTTTTAAAATTCTGTCTCAGTCAAAAAATGAGCCTGAGATTTTGAAAAAAAAAGTACAGTAATAAAAAAATAAACAATGTAATTTCACAATCCATTGGGGAAGAATAAAAGCAAAACTCATAAAATACGGTTCTAATATATCAAAGGAGTGGGTAGTAGACCATTCTACACGGCCTGTCAGAAACAAGTGATGAGTGGTTAACTTGCAAAACGAGTTTCCTGAATTTAAACACAGATAAAAACTATTTGAATAAAACATGACGAGTACATTTTACTGCTCAAATAGTGTAGCTGTACATAGTCATACAGAATACATATTTGCACAGTAAGGGCCATCAAATCCAAGTGCTCCCGTCTGAACTCAGAAGAAAAGGGTTGCTTAAAAACCTTTTCTATTAAAGGTTTCATTTATATTCTTCTTTAGTAAAAGACTGGTTTGACATATTGTGCTAAATCAAGGGTGTCAAATTCAAGGCCTGGGGGCAGGATTCAGCCCGTGGATTGTTTAGATCTGGCTCACGGAGTCTCTCTGGAAACAGCAAAGGACCAGCCCGTGGTGCCTCTGCTAGCAAAAATGGAGCTCGGGAGGACTGCAGGCAACCTTCCCGAGCTCTGTTTTCACTGGCAGAGGGTTGCAGGAGGTCATTGCTGCCAAAAACGGAGCTCAGGAGCCCATTTTCGCTGGCAGAATGCTCCGGCCACCACAGGCACCCACAACACGACTGATGTCGAACTGGCCATGCTCATCCTGGCCATGCTCATCCTGGCCATGCCCATTCCACCTCCCCCAAAGATCGGGTAGAGGGTTGCAGGAGGCCATTGCAGCCAAAAACGGAGGTCAGGAGCCCGTTTTTGCTGGCAAAGTGCTGACCTCAAGTTGGCCATGCCCACCTTGGCCATGTCTTCAAGGTCAAACACAATTCTGATGTGGCCTTCAATGAAATCAAATTTGACACCCCTGTGCTAAAGCATCAATAAGATTCTTTGCTTTTTTGCCTAGCATGATTAGATTACGGCTTATGCAAAGATCACTAAACTTGTCTGATCCCCAGGTATCTCACCCTAAAGCCGGACTGCAAACAGGGCAAAGGTGATGTATGGACAACCAGCATTCATCTTGGGACTCTTGGTTTTCTTGCTAAACATGGTTTGCTTTTGTTAGGGTTTGTGAAATAGGTGACAATAGGTAGCTTAATATGTTTTGCCATGTTATTAATAGGGCTTACAAACCACAATAGGCAGATAAGATCACACGTTTTATAGTCCCAGACCAAACCAAACACATTATGGATTAGAACATTGTGCAAATATTGCTTTAGGACACATATTTAATTTGCAGTTTGAAATTGGGAGGTATTATCTAGCTTGTGGCAGTTAATCTTTTGGAATTAGTGGGAATGTATGAAATATTGAGATTATGTTAAGGACACTCTTCCAAAATAATTGCCACAACAAGTTGATTAGAAGGTAAAGTGAAGGCTGGGCTCCACTTTACTTTACTCCCAGTGGTGGGTTCTGGATCCCGTTCCAACCGGTATGGTTGGAACGGGCCTGGTGGCGTCCACATGGGCGCACACAGCGTCTTAACACCTCCAAGAGCCCCTGCGACGTTCAAGCTGCTCCATGGAGCATTGCGCAGGTGCTGTATGTGCCATGCATGTGCGTGGAAGCCTTAAAAGACAGGTAAGGAGCTCGGTTCCACCACAAAACCACGGTAGACTAAAGCGCGCTCGACGAAAGCGCGTATGTGACGTCATCACAGCGCGACGAAAACAGCACGCTGTGAGCAGTAAACTTAA